CAAGCTGGCCGCGATGGTTGACGGCAGCTGCAAGGCGAACGAGTGCGCATCGTGGAGAGCCGAGACGCAGAGCTGCGTTGTCGATTCGCAGACTTCGCAAATCGGGTGTGTATTGGGAGATCGCTGCAAAGTGTTGATTGCTGTCGCCCCAAAGATTCGAGGCATTGGCTGCAGTGTGATCAAGGCTGGCTTTTGGCTGGAACACGTGTCTTGAAAGAGGAAGGACGGCTGCACAAACGTAGACCCGGCACCGAAGACACACATGGGGCTGCCGCCAAAGTACGTTCGGCTTCCTCCGCGCCAAGATATCGGAGTTGCGTCCAATTGCACCGACGGCCATTGCGTGAGCGCAGCCAAGAGACGGGGATCAGCAGCTAATGCAGCGATTAACGAGGCTTGAAACGTGGCAACGAGCGTGCGCACGGACGCTGGCGGCGCAACGAGAAAGATATCGACCGATTCAAACGGGCCAAGCGCGTCATGCACGATAACGCTCGCGGCCGTGAACGGGTAGACGCCCGTGATGAACTCGACCGTCATGGAGGGCCCGAGCGTATTGTTGGCCATAAAATTCGGCGCACTGCGCACGAGGCTGCCGTTGGCGACCGACGACGCCCAGAGGTCGTTGAAGAAGTACCAGTTTTGAATTACGGTCGTCCAGAGCGCCCCTAGATTGTGTGAGACTAGCATAGCCAGCGTTTTGGCGAGCGTACCTCGACTGGCATACGCAATGTTGGTGGTTGAGAGCGTCTGTGGCCACCCAAATGCATTGGTGATTGCGATTGTTTCGTGCATGCCGATGGAGAGCATGTTGCCCCACTGCATTGTGAAATGCGTGAGCCCATGCGAGTCCCAGAATGCGACTTCATCGTCGGCCGAGACGCGCGCGTTCTGAACACTTACAAGCCATTGCGCGCCCCCACGTGAGGCGACGACGGCGTCTCCGACGGAAAACATAAACGACGACTCGAACCGGCCGAGAAAAGCCGACCAATTGACGTTGCGAAGCAGTAGCTCGAGGTACACCGCAGCGTTCGTGTCGTACTGGGCGGTGCAGCGCTCTTGACGGACGCGGGTGTGCGCGAGCTCCCAGCGCTTCTCGACGTCGACCCAGCAGTACTGCGTGTAGATTTGAAACGTGAGACGCGTCAAGAGAGACGGAAGGGCCTCGACCGCAGTTCGCACCGACGTTTGCTCGCTCAAGAGAATCGCCCGTGGGTACGACGGCTGAACTTCGAGCATCGTCGATGGTTCGTCGTAGTCCTTGAGCAGCGCGTTGGACGCATCAAACGCGTCGAT